GGGGGGGTTTGCTTCTGTCTGTATTTACAAAGCAATCGGAGCCCTTGGGGATTTTGCAGAATTAGAGAGAGGAGAAGCAGCAGAAAAGAGTCTTGAGAAATCGTCTCTCCAGATGGCTTGAAGTTCTTGGAAGGTTGGCAAACGGCAGCCTGGCTGTGATTGTGCGCCTGCCCACTTGCCGCTTAGCCAATCCGGGAAACAAACAGCTAAACCTTCATTGAAGCTTCTGCTGTAAAGTCGCCCTTTTGGACTGGAATCTCCGGAAAGCTTGCTCCTGAGTTGAGGGCCTGTTTGGGGGTTCTTTCCGGATGCCAAAGACTCCTTGCCCGTTGGCGTTCTTTCCAAGCACGCTAAGAGTGCCGCTCCAAGCAGGCTGCCAGACAGCATGGGCCTTCCCCAAGAAGGCCCTGCCTCTTACGTCGCCCTTGCGGGGTCCAGCAACGGAGCCTGCTTGAAGTCCTTGACTTCAAGAGAGACGTTTTTACCAGCCCTGCAACCAGCCTCTCTGCAGCTGGATGGGGCAAAGGCTCCTCATGCCCTCCATGCCAACTCACTGAGCAAAGAAGGAGAACAAACCAACCTTTGTAGCATAAAATAGCCCCCCCCCCCGTGAGATTTGGTGGATAAAGAAATTACTAATAATAGCGAGTTCCCTCATACTCTCTAGTTTGTTCCCTTCTTTCAAAATTAGATGCCAGACACACAAAACATTAATGTTTCTATGGAAACAATTTGGAAGCAGAAACACTTCCAAAAGTGCCTGGGGTGCCCTGTCTTGGCATTTCCACTTAGACAGAAGTCCAAGGGGTCTTTTGAGGCTAATTTCTCTGAGACAAAAGATGATTATCCTCAGTGACTGACCACATCCAAGGAGACAAGGAGCATCTGGGCAGAAATGCCCCAACTGGGGCAGGATTGAAGCAGCCTGACCCAAAGGCTTCCAGGAAGGTTGGTCAGATGCCTTCAAGTTGCCCACCAACAAAAGAAAGACCAACCTGGGTTGGTTTTCCCCAAACCCCTCAAACTTTAACCTTAGACTGTCTACTATTGACCTCAACTCTTTCCTAAGAGGTCTGCAGGGGGCGTGCATAAGCGCACCAATCGTGCCTACCGTCCCTGTCCTATTGTTTCTTTTTTATTTTTCTTATATGTATCCATCTCATGTATTCAAAACTATGTTTATTCTTATACCTGTATCTTGTAAGCGATTGACAAATCAAATCAATAAATAAAAATAAATAAATAGAATTTGGTCAAGAAAGACTCGCAAGGAGGACATTTCTTCATAACAGTCGCCACTGTGAATTTTCTTTTTCTTCCTGAATTCCGGGAAGAAGAGAAGGGTAAGACTCATTCTGACTTTAGCAAAACATCGGAGGTTATACGAAACAGGCGCAAAGCCAAAGCAACATTAGACCATTGGATAGGAGGCACCCTGTGGGTCTCTGCCCTCAACCTGAACTTAGGAGCGGAGGAAGCCAAGAGAACAAGGGAATTTGAGTTGGGGGGGTGATGGTGTGGGAGTCCAGATTCCTGCATTAAGTCTGGCTCTGCCGAACTGGCTCCTTCCAGACTGAACATCTGGAATGCCTTCTCAAATGACGGTCAGGCAGTAAGTCAGGGAATGTATGCGCTAAAGGTTTTGTGGATGGTCAGGGCTCCTCCACGCTCAGATGCCATCAAGCCCCCAACGGGTAGATTTACCCGGATAGTATGACTGCAGTATTATTATGGTCATCTTCTCTCTAGTACCCCCTTTTATTGGCATTATGATTATGATTACTTCGTTGCTTTGCATGTACACAGAGAGCGTCTGCATCGGAGACAAACTCCTGGTATTTTATTTTATTTTATTTATCTTAATTTGTCAAGCGATGATAAGATAGCAGGTATAAGTATAAACATAGTTATGAATACGTGAAACGGAAACATATAAGAAAAATAGAATGAAACAATAGGACAGGGACGGTAGGCATGTTGGTATGCCTAACCACACTTGGCCAATAAAGTAGTCACTTTCTGTTTCTTTAAAAAAAGGGAGGAAGAACGTGGAGGACCATTCTCAGAGGGTCTGCGGTCAGCAGGGCAGAACCCACCCTAGATTTCCCAGAACTTACCAAAAAGGGGGCTTCTCCCTCCTGCTCCCTCAAAGTAGCACCTGCAGGGTTTTGCTACACCACTGTCAACTTTTCCTTCGAGAGTCTCCTTTCCAGGAAGGAGCAAAGGGGATGGATGAAGAATTGCTGGTCTGGCAAAAGGCAGCTTCCTGTATCTGGGGATTTTGCAGTGAAGGATGAATTTCCCAGAGGATGGAAGGCATGAACAAGGAACGGAGGGTGGGTGGGTTCTGGGGCCTTAATACGACTTAGTTCAAGCTCAGTTTCTGTCCCCTTTGGGAGCCCAGCAGGGTCCCCCACAGCCTTAAATCCCCCGAGAGCCACTTAGCCATAAAAGGGGCTCCTTCGGTTAAAAGGCTGCCCTGACCTCACAGCCTTGAGGGCTGGTAAAGAGAGCAGACGTTCTGCAGCTTTAGAACACGTGCGTTGCGTTCTTCTCTTAGACTCCTTCTTCCTGTGTGTGGTAGCAAGTGTCAAATGTAGAATCAACGGTGGGGGTCTTTGGTGCTTTCTTAGCTCTGTGGTTTTCTTGCAGAGGTTTCCTTACCCAAACTAGATAACATCATCAACCGCAAATATCCTCGTTTACTGGTATAATCCACCATTCCTGGCTTCCTTCAGAGGGCAAAACAACAAAAGGATGCTGCAGATTGAGGCAAAAGGTGGGCAAAGGGCTCCAGGTGTCTTCAGCCCTGCGTGGGCTCCCACCCATTCACCTCTCCTTGGTGATCTTGGGGTTTGTCTGGGAAAGGGATTACTCTAGTTAGAATGTCATCCCAGATGTTCTGAGTTTTGTCTTGGCTTCATTGTGTGGGTGTCATGCCCCTGGTGGAGACTGACTCTGAGGGAGAGGAGGAACAGCCGACAGGGAGTGGAAGTGTGGCTCCGGAGGTTGTGGAGGAGGCTGGGGAAGGGCAGAGTCTGGCTGGCCGGTCAGAGGAGGACCCAGGACCATCCCCTATCCATCCTCGGGCACACAGGGAGGAGAGGATAAGGGAGAGACATGGTCTACGGGGGAGGAGAGGGTCTTGATCCTCTTCATGGGCTGCAGCTGTGAGAACTGCATAAGAATTTGGACCCGCATGCTGGCAAACGCTGGAAACAAAGCATGTTTTATTTTGGTCTGAAGTTATCTTGGTTGGCGTCCTTCTAACAGACTGTGCCTTGTTATCTCCTTGAATTTGGTAAATACTACTCCTGTTCAGTTGTGGAAATGTTGTCATTGTAGTTTGTTTGGTTTTTTTTATTTCACCTCTATCTGCTCATTAAGTTCGGACTGTATTGCTTTCTTTTGAAGACTATTTTTGAGTCCGTTTTATCTCCAACTGAGTATTATTGAACAGTGGGGCCAAGTTGGAAGCATTAAAGGACATTTATTTACGTTTTGGATTTTGTTACGTTTGTGGTACACTCTGGGTCATCACAGTGGGTTTGTGGCTTAGCGTGATGCAGGAGGTCCTTCATAGCACATCTGGGCTAGAGCCTGGCCCATGTTGGTCCCCCTCTGGTTGCCGCAGAATTAAGAAAGGGGCCACAAACCAGGTGGGAGCCCGGTCATTCCCCCTGGATTCTCTTTGGCTGCTGATAAAACAGAGGAAGATGTTGCAAAACACCAGAAACAAAAGGACATTGAAGAGAGATCCCTTCCTGGCAAAGTCTTGCAACACGCGGTTAAGCCATAAGCACATTTGAGTGGGGCGGGACTGTGGACCTTCAACCAGCCCCCACCCCACCCAGCAGGCCTGGAAGGACAAAGAGATCTGGTCTCTGGAGCCAGAGCAAGTCATCCACGGTTGATTCTGGATGTTTGCCTGTGACACATGACCCTCCCGCCTTGACGCTCATTGTAAGGAGAAGCCCCGAGGTCGGGAGAGTTGAAGATTTGGATCTCTTACCCAAACTGGGCCTCTTTCTTTCTCCTTTTCCTCAGAAGGTCCCTGCCTTGCACTGAAAATACAAAAAAAAAAAAAAAAAAAAACACCATTGTTTTTCCAGGAATGAGCAGCTGGTCGGTAGCCTGCTAGGTTTAGCCCACATCTCCCCCACCTTCCCAAAATTCAGTGCAAAAATACTGACAACTTTGATTGCTTATTGTACCCTATGACCCTATAACCCCTTTAAGGGTTGTACTTTGATTCTTGACTATTGATGAATGTATCTTTTCTTTTATGTACACTGAGAGCATTTGCACCAAAGACAAATTCCATGTGTATCTAATCACACTTGGCCAATAAAGAATTCTATTCTATTCTATTCTATTCTATTCTATTCTATTCTATTCTATTCCATTTCTTCTATTCTATTCTATTCTATTTCTTCTATTCTATTCTATTCTACTTCCAATTCTATTCTTATTGTACCCTATGACTATTATTAAGCGTTGTACCTGATGATTCTTGGCTCTTGACAAATGTATCTTTTCTTTTATGTACACTGAGAGCATTTGCACCAAGACAAATTCCTTGTGTGTCCAATCACACTTGGCCAATAAAGAATTCTATCTATTCATAACTTTAAAAAGTCCATCCAAGATTACTTTCTGGCAGAGCAGCCCTCTTAAATCCCCGAAAAAGCTCATTTTAAAAAAATAAGTGATCCAGTTGATTGAACACAGATCTTTAACTTGGTCCTTGCTTCCTTCTGGAGGAAAAAGCTCTCCTGTGGCCAGAATTTTGGATTTTAACTTTTATCAGCGTCTCTTGAGCACTCAGCCATATCCAACTTTTCTTTTGGGCATCTGATTTCAGGCTAAAGCCCCTCCGGGCTCCTTTTGATCTGATGCCAGGCACTAATATATAAGCAACAGCAAAAATAAGGTTTAACCTTTTTTTTTTATTTTGGATCTGCACAGTGACAATACTAACACATGTACTGTATTTAGAAAAAAAAAACATCCTCAAAAATGCTACGCAGAAAAAGAAAACTACGCACAGTGTTTATTTGTAAACATAGCAACTGGCAGGAAAGTCAGAGTCCCAAATCCTTTGGCAGCTTCCTCTTATAATGAAAAACAGCTAGTTGTAAGCAGCCCTTCAGCTGAACACACTGGAGAGGGGGGGAGGAAGGCTTCCCTCCCAGCACGAAGGAAACCAAGCAGATTGTGAAGGTTTTCTGTTACACAGAGGAAGTGCACACACATACATGCCCTTCCGCGGGCACAGTTTGGAGTAGGGCAGCATGGAAATGTCAGCCATTAAAAAAATAATTAAAAAAAAAAAGCCCAATTCACCCAAAGGCACAAAAGAGAGTCCGTGTTTATTCCTAAGTGGTGGGAATCCGGACCCCTGGGGGTCTCACGGGGTGCTACACATGTTTTTGACCCTCTAGGAGTGTTGCAGTCAGGGAGGAGGTTTCCTTGGGGCAGGGGCAGTGGGGGTCCTCCGCCCTACTCCTGAACCCTGCCAAGTGTCCATTGAGGATATCCTTTCGCAGAGATGCTGCCGCGACACCCCCTGCTGGCCGTGGGGTTCAGGAGGGCCAGCTTGCAAAGTGGGCGGCTGGAGGGAGAGTGCCCAGATTCTTCTGCAGCCCCCTCCCATAGGGGAGATGTCCCACTTCCCCAGTCTCTTAAGGGGGGGGGAGGGAAATGTCACAGAAAGAGGCCATTGGTGTCCAGAGGCTAAATGAAGGTGGAATCCAACTGGTTGCTGTCCTTGGTACTTTCTGCCCGAGCTCCAAAAAGCTGCTTGATGAGGGCGGATTTCTCCTGCTCCAGCTGCGTGATCCGGTGGCCTTTGTCCGTCACCTCCTGGATGGGGTGGGGGGAGGCAAAGCGGTGTTAGCAAAGTGGCTGGTTGGGGCCTTCACCCCCCCCCCCAAAAAAAGAGATGAGTACCCCCCCACTGACCTTGGTGAGGAGTTTGTTCTGTTCTTTCAGCATGTGGATGATCTGTTGTGGCCCCACAGGTGGAGAGGGGCCCAGGAGGGTGGCAGGCGGGCTGTGCGAGGCGGCAGGGCTTGAGTTCCCAGGCTGAAGTGAAAGGGGGTTTAGTGAGTAACAGGTTTCTAGTCCTTATGGGCAGATGTTCTGACCCACGCCCTTTTCCAACAAATCAAACACCATCCAAAAGGAACAGAGACCTCGTAATGCTTTTACAAAATAATTAGCTGTGATAAGCACAAGCCTTGCCAAATTGGGCAAGACTTGCCAAAAGATAACAGACAAGAAATAATTTGCAAAATAAGAATCTTCAAATCCAAACTCAGGATACTGGAATGTGCACGAGGCTGGAGTTTCAAAACGTCTTTGCCTTCTGCAAAGTACGTTTGTTTCATAGCTGGTTTTTATCTTCTTGAAGAAGGGGCCATTACCTTGCAGCCTTACTCCTGAGTCACCCGTGCTGCTGCAGCTGCTCTTTCCTGCGAGCAATCCTGTGCACAGGTGCACTTGGCACAGGCTCCTCGGGAACCTCCTCATTGCTGCTGCCAGCCCCCACAATCTCTGAAGGCAGCAGTCCACTCCCTAATGGTCCTGGCCTCTCATCTGAGTCCTCGCTCTCCTCAGCCGTCCACACCTGCTGCCGGCTAACCACAACAACAGCAGGGCAAATGCCAGCGAAGTTTATTTTATTTTATTTCTACGATTTATTTTATTTGCACTCATCTTATGGCAGGGTAACTCTTCCCACCCACCCCAACCCCACTGCACTGGGCTCCTCACCTTGGCAGAGAGGGAAAGCAGCTGCCAGAGGCATTGGTTCAGCTCCTGCACTTGCGGGAAGAGATGGCTGAGCTGCGTCCGGCCTCCCTCTTCCTGCTGAGGAAAAGGGGAAGGGTCTGTGGTTGGGTCCCCATTGGCCCCCCTCCGAGTAGGCTGGCCAGCCCCCCCACCTCCTGGGAGATGGCTCCAGGTTCCCCCAGCCTGCCTCTTGCCCTCACCTGGCGACCTTTGCTCCGTGCCAGCTGCTTCTGGTGCCCCTGCAGGCGATGGAGCTGCTGGTGGTACCAGCCCCGGGCCTCCTCCACCAGCTCCAGGCCCTGCAGCAGGAAGTCCTTCTCCTTCTCCAGCTCCTTCATCTGCTTCAGCTGCCAGGAGACACGGAGGGGGGCAAGGCCATCAGCAGCCGGCCCTTCCTTTCATCCCCACAACTCCCCTCTCCCAGCCGGGCACACTCTGGATTTGCGTTGAACTACAATTCCCATTGCTCCCAGCGCAGAGCGGGGAGGTGACCCAAGGGGTAGTCAAAGCAGGCCAGCTAAGGGGGTAGCCTCCCTCTGTCTTGCCAGCTCTTTTGCCAGGTGGGGATGTGGAGGGAGTGGGGGGCACAGGAGTGGGAATACCAACCATCTCATAGTCCACTCCGTGGGTGATGGTGTGTCTCCGCCGGCTGCTCAGCTGCCTGCGGGGCTCCTTGCAAGAACCCTCGTTTTCCAGCGGCTCTTTTGGCTTCCGGGTCCCACCGGCCTCTCCTGCTGCAGAGAGGAAGAGGAAGGGGGAGACGTTAAGAGGAGGGGTTCTTGGTAAACCCACCACCCACCAGGAACCAGCCATTCTGGGCCTTTCTTCCCCTTTCTCCCTTCTTTCCTCCAAATTTAAAACTGTTCTTTTTTTTTTTTTTCCCTTTTGCAATCTGGGGTGCTGTTTCTCCCAGGCGCAGCCCCCAGATCCTGGGAGTGAAACCCCTCCCCACACTCTTGAATCTGGTCTTTCTCCTTCATGTCCCACCAGGGACTTCTCCCCCCTCCATTAAACCGAGTGAGGGTCGGTCTGGCCTGCCATCAACCGCCGGACTCTGCCCATTGACCGGAGAAGTTCTGCAGCCCCTTCCTCGCCCGGGTCCCTCACCGGCTCGCTTGCCCGGCAGCTGCTGCTGCTCCGCCTGCCCGCCGTGGCTGCTCTGCTCCAGGCTCCGAGGGGCGGCGGTGCCGCCCGGCCGAGCGCCCCGTTTCAGCGGAGGGGGCGGCGAGGGGGCGGCGTCGGCGGCGGGGCAGGGCGCTGGGCCGGCGAGGTTCCCGCCGGCGGGCTCCGCTGGGCCGTCCCCTCCTCGCTCGTCGCCCAGGAGCGACAGCCGGAGCCCCAGCACGAAGCGCTCGAAGGTGAGGTAGCCGCTGGCCGGCGCCGCCCGGCGCAGCCCTTCCAAGACCCCCGGCGGCAGCGGCCCCGTTTCCCCGCCCGGCTGCAGCCAGCGCGACTCGATCTCCCGCAGGTGCACGTAGCCCCGCCGCCGCTCGTCCAGGATGTCGTAGAGCGGCCGGAGGCTCTGCAGGAAAGCCCGCGGCAGCCCCGACGCGCTGCGCTCCGGCGCCATCGGCGGACAAAGGGGCGGCCGAGAAGCCAACCGGGCTCCCCGTGACGTCAGCGGACCTCCCTCTCATTGGCCGATCGACCGAATCCTCAACGCCCATTGGCGGAGCCGTCCCGCGAGTTGGTTTGATTTAGCTGCGGGAGCGGAGGAGCCGCCGGGCCAGCAGAAACTGCGGCCGGAGGAGCCGCCTCTCGCTCGCTCGCTCGCTCTCCCCTCCGCGACCCCCGGGCCGGAGATGCTGGGGAGGGGCCGCCCTCGGCCGCTCCGGGGCTTGGGGTTAGGCTTGGGGGGCGGCGCTGCTTCCCTCGCCTCTTCCCCGCCGCCTTCGGCCCGCCCCGCGGCTTGGCTCGAGGCGGGGAGCTCCGCCTGGCCGGACGGGGCGGGACCCGCGGCGGAGCCCAGCAGCTGAGCGGCCTTTGGGGAGGCAACTGGCGAGAGGGGATCGCGCTCCCCGCTTCCTGCCCTTCGGCCTCCGTTCCCCGCGCCCCGTCCATGGGGCCGCCGGAGGAAGAGGCGATGCGGGGCCGGCTGGAGCGCGCCGGGCAGTCCCACCTGCTGCGTTTCTGGGCCGAGCTGGGGCCGGCGGAGCGGGAGGCGCTGCTGAGGCCGCTGGCGTTGCTGGAGCCCGAGGAGCTGGCCGAGCATTGCCGCCGGGCTGCCCAAGCCTGCGCCCGCGAGCGACGGCCCTGCCGGGAGAAGCTGGATGGCCGCATGGAGCCCCTGCCGCCCGAGGTGGTGGGCAGCGTCGGCAGCGGCGACCCGGCGGCTCTGGAGCGGTGGGAGGAGGAAGGTGGGCGCGCCCTCCAGCTGGTGATGCCCTTTTGCCTCCATCTCCCCCCCTGGCCTGGTGCTGTGCCCCCAGGGCCTGCCTGACAAGGGAGCTGAGGGTGGGGGGGGGGCTCCCTCCCGAGAGGTGGTGCCAGCTGTGCCTTCTGCCCTCCAGGCTTCCGCCAGATCTCCCAGGGCAAGGTGGCGGTGCTGCTGCTGGCGGGCGGGCAAGGCACGCGTTTGGGGGTGCCCTACCCCAAGGGCATGTTCGACGTGGGCCTGCCCAGCCACAAGACCCTCTACCAGATCCAGGCCGAGAGGATCCGCAAAGTGGAGCAGCTGGCCGACCAGAAGTTTGGCTCGCAGTGCCTGGTGCCCTGGTGGGTCCCGCAGCCCCTGGGCGGCTCAAGCAGTGGCAGGAAAGGATCGGGTGGGAAATCCGCTCAGGCCAGGAATCTGGCTTCCTCTTCCAGGTACATCATGACCAGCGAGTTCACGCTGGGGCCGACCGAGAAGTTCTTCCAAGATCATAACTACTTCAACCTGGACAAGTCGAACGTGATCATGTTTGAGCAAAGTATGCTGCCGGCCGTTACCTTTGACGGGAAGGTGATCCTGGAGGAAAAGGGCAAGATCGCCATGGCACCAGGTGGGCGGCTCTTTTCGGGCACTGAGTGGGCCTTCCGGGACTTTCTCTGCCGTTTCTCTGATAGGAATTCCAGCCAATGAAGCCACTTCTGGGTTCATGGACCCAACGGTAGCTGGAGGTAAGCAGGAACGTCTGCCGTGACCAACGGAGGAGTAGAAAGCCGTCGCTTGCTCCTGTGTTGCAGATGGCAACGGTGGCTTGTACCGCGCCCTGGTGGACCACAAGATCCTGGCGGACATGCAGCGACGGGGCATCCAGTTCCTCCACGTCTACTGCGTGGACAACATCCTGGTCAAAATGGCGGACCCCGTCTTTATTGGCTTTTGTGTCTCTAAAGGAGCTGATTGCGGTGCCAAGGTGAGGGGGGGTGTCGGTCTCCACCGAGCCTGGTTTTTAAGTTCAGCCTCTTTCGGTGCCTCATCTCCCGAAATGAACGATGTTCTGACCCAGGCTTCGTTCAAATTAAGAAAACACATGCTGTGTGTAGAAGCAAACCTTTTCGGATGCGGCGCTGGGAAGTATTTGCGTTCCCAGCCAAAACTTATTGAACACAACTGTCTGAGATAAGAGCACACCTTTCAGGGTTGTAAAGGCTGCCAAGAAACAGACATCCACTTAATTAGCAAGGTAAACTGACGGAAGTTCCAGCAAAGACAAACCAGAGTCCCCAGGGCTTCGATGAGGAATCGGAATCTAATGATTCTTCTTTGCTTCCTGCAAATAGCACATCGCCAAGGGCTGGCTTTTATCCCTTATGGGAGGGGTAATCACCTCCCAGCCTTACTCCTGAGTCGCCCCTTTTGCCTCAGCTGCTCTCTCCTTCTAGCAGCTCTGCACACACGCACAATGGGAACAGGCTCTCCTGGGTCCTCTGCCTCGCTGCTGCTGGACTCCGAAGGCTCCAAAGGAAGCACCCCACTCCCAGATGGTCCTGGCCCCATCCCTGCATCGTCCTTGTCCAAGTCCTCTCTTCCTCACTGTCTGATACCTTTGCAGGTGGTGGAGAAAGCCCACCCCGCCGAGCCTGTTGGGGTGGTGTGTCGCCTGGACGGAGCCTTTCAGGTGGTGGAGTACAGTGAGATTGCTGTGGAAACGGCCGAGGAACGCCATCCTGACGGCCGCTTGGTCTACCGGGCAGGAAACATCTGCAACCATTTCTTCAGCCTTGACTTCCTTCGGGAGGTGGCGGAGTAAGTCCCCTTGCCCCCCCATCTGCACCGAGGGCTCCCAAAGGCGAGGAAGAAGAAGAGAGATTCTTGACACCTAATTGGATCCAGGAAGAAGAAGGAGGGAGGGAGATCCCTGCTTTTAATCTGGAAATTGACGGCTGTTGGAGGTAGTTTAACTCAGGGGTCCCCAACCACCGGTCCGCGGACCGGTACCGGTCCGTGGAACAAGTCCTACCGGGCCGCTGGTTTGCTGGGCGCTGCCATCTTGTTTTGATGAAAAAGTGCTTCCGGTGAGCTTTTCCGGGTAGAAAGCTCACCGGAAGCACTTTTTCATCAAAACAAGATGGCGGCGCCCAGCTGATGCCGGTACCGGGCCGCGCCATAAAAAAGGTTGGGGATACCGGGCCACGGCATAAAAAAGGTTGGGGATCACTGGTTTAACTGCTCTGCCAAACCGCCAGACAGCTGAGTATTATTCAGAAGGAGGAAAAAAAAACCAAAATGCGTCTGGGCAAACCGCCGAAATGCCTCCCACTATTAAAATAATTAAAACGGTTTTCAGGGAGCCGCCCAAACTCACATGATGAGACAACGGAAGTTTCTTTTCTCCTTTTCATTCCTCCCAGACAGCCGTGTCCAATATTCCCCCAATTCAGCTCTTTTCCCTTCCGGGGCGGGAAAAAGTTCCCAGGCTGCGTGGGAGTAAATTGGGGGGACGATCTCGGAGGGTGGGTGGGCTGCTGCACCTGCTACTTGGTGTGGGGAGGCCCCAGCTGGGCTGAGGATGGTCCGTTTGGGGGGGGGGGGGCTTCCTAGAGACAGTCCTGGGGTTGGAAAGTTCCAGCTCCAGTTGGGCAGGGTCCTTTCTTTCCTCCGCAGGCAGTTCGAGTCGCAGCTGGTGCCCCACGTGGCCATCAAGAAAGTGCCTTACGTGGACGAGGAAGGCCACCGGGTGGATCCCCTCGAGCCCAACGGGATAAAACTGGAGAAGTTTGTGTTTGACGTGTTCCCATTTGCTAAGTTAGTGTCCAGTGCCTCTCTTTCCTTCTCTTTGGGCCGAAGTGGGGCACAGCCAGCTGCGGAGGGGAGCGGGTGGCAGAGCGGGGGCCCACGCAGCCTTCCAAGTGTCTGCATTAACATAAAGCCTGCAGAAGCATTGCATCCCCCTCTCCAAATTCAGGACCTCTGCGCAGCCGGCTGATCTGAGGACCCTCCTTATTTCAGAGGGGTCCCTGCACAGACGTGAATGGTGCAGGGGGGAACCTCACCTTAGGGCAGGTAAATCTTAGGGAGTTTAACTGAAAAAGGGCTGCTGCCACCGCGAGCAGCTGAGCCAGAATTTCACACGGCAAACAGGTGGCGAGTGACATCCAGCTTTGTGGGTATCCCAGATATATATAATAATATAAAAGAATGGAGGGTGAACCACAGTTATGTGGGCATCGCCGCAAATGCTTAACCAGCTTGGCATCGCCAAATAAAGTGACCTGTGTAGAATTAATATAAATATGGGCCTGGGGAACCCAGAGCGGGATGGAGCCCATCAAATGGCTAGTCTGATCTGCTGTCGTCGGGGAGGGAGTTGAGGGGTGATTTTATTTATTTTCCCCCCAGATTTGGTTGTATTGTACTTTATTAATTTATTTGATTCTTTTTGTTAGTTTTTATTGTTTATTTTTTGTTTTAAATTTGGTTTTACATTGTGTAAGCCACCTCGAGTCACCATGGGCGAATAGGCGGCAATATAAATGTAATTTAATTAATTAAAGCATCTGTCAGCCCATTTTAAGCACCCGCCTTTTCCTTCCTGGGTTGACAGAAACTTTGTCACCTTCGAAGTCCTGAGGGAAGAGGAGTTCTCCCCTCTGAAGAACGCGGACACGGCTGCCAGAGACACTCCGACCACAGTGCGACGTTCGATTCTCTCTCAGCATTACCGCTGGGCCATCAAGGCGGGGGGCAGATTCGTGGCGCAGGGCGGACAGCCCATCCCGGAAAAGGAGAGGTGGGCGTGCGCTGCTCATCAGCCCAGTTGGGCAGGAGGCTTTGCAGGGGCGAAGAGGCAACCCTTGCCCCCCCTCCACCCGCTGCAAAGTCCTGGGGTCGCAGCCATCGCTGGGTTTTGCTTTCGTGCATTATGTGAATCGGCTGCGGGTCCGATTCAACAAACGAAGCTTTGACCTTAAGTGTTTATTTTATCAGTAGGGTGGGAATGTTTTAGAGTTAAGTCAATATTGATTTTTTTAAGATTTAATATCTGGGGATATTGAAACAACTGTTAACTATCTATCAGACACCCATGAAAAAGATTCCCAGATGGTTAGCAATTAATATTAAAAAACTCTCCATTTTCAATGGCAATTCAGTTGAACTGGATGCATATTTAAATCTAGAATCTAGAATTATTATCCGTGTCTCGGATAGCAGATGTGGTTATTCCAGGGAATAAACTTTAATGCATTTGGATCTTTATTATCCTCCAGCATAAGTTGTGTTTGTGTATTTGTAGAGAGCCTTAAGTGTTTTTGTTTTCCTGTCTTTCTCAGTTTTTCCCAAGACGAGGAACCGCCTGCTGTGTGCGAGATCTCACCGTTGGTCTCTTACTTTGGAGAGGTCAGAAAACTATTCTCCGTTCAGCTCCAAAAGGGTTAAATATCTGCCTTTGAGGTGTCCTAAAACAATCCACCACGTTCAGTGTTTTAAACTCTTTTTTTTTTTGCAGGGGCTGGAAAAATATATGCGGGGCAAAAACCTTCCATCTCCGTTTCTACTTGATGAAAGCAAAGCTGAATTTTAAACTTTGGGTAAAGCTCGACAGCTCCATTTTGGAAAAAAGGTTCACATTTCATTTAAAAACTAAAGCAATTCTTTTTAGGGGGAAAAAAAAGTAAGAAAGAGTCAAGAGAGGGCTTTGAGAACCAAGGCATGTTTACTTCTGGAGGAGGAAAGTCGGTAAGACGACGGGATATCTGAGAATTTTCCTTCATATTAAAGTGAATTTTAAAAGCAACTCTGGCAAGGTGTGTTTCTTATGTTTCCGCATTCTTAGAGGGGTAGGATGGAGATTTGATCAAAGGAGATGGCTAGTTTTAATGGCATGTTCTGTCTTTTGATGCCACCTTCCACCAATTCTGCTCCTGTCTTCATCCTTAGAAGTCTTAAGCATCAGCCAGGAAGGGCAGCATACAATATAAAGCATCAGGCTGGCTGCAAGAGAAGCAAAATATTAAATTTGGGGAGGGAGAGTCACGCGGGAGTTGGGGGTTTGGGTCACGTGATGTGCCCAAGTTCGGTTCTCACCTGCTATTGACTGGCTACCCCAAGTCAGCCTCCTCCTGCGCGTCTCCCAGGGACCACTAGAGGCCGCTGTAACCCCTCCAAGAGGGGAGGGAACTCCGCGGCGTCCCAGCGCGGCCGCTCTAGGCTCTCTCTCGGTGCCGCGGACAGCAACAGGAAGAAACATGGCGGCGGGCGGAGGGGGGCTCCGCGGCTCCTGAAGGAAAACCGTTGGCTGCCATGTACTCGGCCGCCGCCTCTTCGCCGCCGCCGCCACCGCCGCCGCCACTCCTGTCACCCTCGCGGCGGGATTTCATCTCGGTCACGCTCAGCGGCGGGCAGTTCCAGGCGGCGGGCGGCGGCGGCGGCGGCGGCTACAACAACAGCAAGGCCTGGCGGAGACGTTCTTGCTGGCGGGTGAGAGGAGCCATAGAGTCGGGACTG